ATCTCTCATTCCTTCGATCTGCCCGCTATCCACCATCTTCTTCAGCGTGCTCAAATCCATCCGACTAAAATTAGCGAGAAATTCGAAAAAAATTTCAAATTTTCCGCTGAGAAATTGAACAATTCATCCAAAAATAATGCAATTTTTTGGAGTTTTATGCTTTTCCTACATTTTTATGAAAAATCATAACGACAAAATCTTGTCGGTTCATGTTTTTTTTTTTCGACTTATTTCACGTTTATCAATGATTGCAAACCAGTACCGCGATTCTGCAACGATTGTTCAACTCAATTTGCGAAGGAAATACCAAAAAAGACGGAAAGCGATGTGCACAAACACATTCGCATGTACTCACCCTTCAGTAGGTCATTTTTTGGTAGCCCAGTAACAGGCGGTTTCCAAACTTCGCTGACAAATACGGTTATGGGACACTAAGGAAGTAAGCTCACCCGGTATTTTTTCTAAACTACAAAAAAACTCGGTATTTACCCTAAATTATAATCAATATCACGATTTTCACCTCGATAACAAGGCAATTAGCAGCGAATTTCCCCTCAACAATTACGTTCAACTACTACACAATTTTTATAAAAACAGCAATTAAATTTTTAAACTTCGGCTCCTAATCATTTGCTCCAGCCTCCTTACTGAGCCACTCCATTCTCCTAAAATTTCAGCTTCTTAGCTTTACCGACTCCAGAGTTGAAAACTAGTGATTCATTGATTAGCCATTCTGTTCAGTTTCAGTGTCTCATACAATAAATTATCTTTTGTCTCTGGCTCAGCCTGGCACCTTAATTGGTTCCTTCGATCCATCGACATGCTTAGACGCGGTACTAGAAGTAAAATACACTGAAAGCAAACTCAGTATATATAGCATCGCTTATTTTGGCAAAAAAAAAGCTCACCTCTTGACTGTTTTTGAATAGCCTCGTGCATCACGATCCGAAACAGGATGTGCAAATATTGCAGCATGCCGGTGACTCGATATCATACGCCAAGCACTTACCATGAAAGCTTTCTGCTCGACATCCTCGCCCACTGCACCGGCCTTAAATTACTTTTTTTTGGAATTTTGAGGACTCCGCGGCACGAATACTTCCCAGACAAACGGTATGGGGTAAGGTTATCCCATTGGAAATGCTCCTTCACGCGAAAGTAGATATGCCAGCTCATACAGTGCTGAAGCTGTACACTTCCACTTAGCATCCGCCACCTGTTCGATGCCTCCCAACTCGTCAGAAGCCCCTCATCGCAAATTATTTTTTCGTAGATACCACACATATGAGGGACAATATTACAGAAGATACATAAAAATATTGAAAAATTTTTGTAATTGGCCAAAATTTTGTAAAAGAAATAAAGGCAGTGGTGAGGCAGCGCTACAATGATTCGATTCAAAAAACGTCTCAGAACCA